CTCATTCATCACCATTTGCACTTTTAGTGTCTTCTCAATTAAATACACAGAGAATTAAGTATTCTAAAAAATCCAAAACCTATTTAAGCTGCATTTTTGATTCGGTTCCAATTTCGGATCCGGGTATTTTGTTCAAACACAGATCAACATCCATATGATACAACAATCACTATTTCGTATGTTAAATATGTTCGACTGATTGTTGACATAAACAAATATTTATTTAAAAAAATTACAAAATAGCTGTAAAAACAAAAAACAAAATAGAAATACATTTTAAAACAATAAAAATTAGGTGATACAATAAGTATAAGCAGCAAAGTCACCGGTCTAGGTATGTGCAATTGCTCATCTTCCTTGTTCCTTGCGCTTCCCGTTCTCGATGCTCGACCCAGTTCAGAAAATTGCAGATTGAGACTCAGACGGATTCAACATTCCATCATCAATACCTCAATCCATGGAATTGAAACAGGAGCTCGATCTTGTTTTGGTGCGATTGATTCGGATAACTTTGCCTTTCTGGAGAAATTCAGGTTTAGAGTGAAATCGAGTGAAGAAGATGTAGTGCTGCATGATACAGTTGATAGTGCAGGAGAAAGTGATTTGATCCAGCTAGTAGGTGAAAATGATCCGAGAAACACTGGCTCGAGAGGATTCAAACAGACGACGACGAGATCGAATCTTGTTGCTAAGCAAGTTATTAGCATACAATCAGCACTGACTTTAGGGTTTATCTCTCAGTTGTGGGTTGACACTACTTCTGTAAGTTCTTCTTGATTAGTATTTACCTTTTGATTGCAAATTGCAATAGCGAGTTTCCAAGTCTGGATCTTTGGGATGCTATGAAATCTTCTCTTGAGACTTTTTTAGTTGCAATGATTCTGAAACTTTTATCTGTCAATTTTGCAGTGGTTGGTTTTGGTGGTTGATGTTAAACCCAGTTTGCTATCTGGAGAATCTGACAGATTCCTACTCAAAGACATTGCTCGGGTACTTCCTTGAACTGGTTTCTAATGTGTTTACATGTCAGTTTTTATGTTAAAACATCTCTGTAGGTGGGTGATGTTGTGCTTGTGGAAGACGAGGCTGTACTGGATACTGAATTTAGGATGGTTGGACTTGAGACACTGGTATAGATCGATTATGTCTCGTTATGTGAATCACCCATCTTTACGATTGAATTCTCGCCTTCTTGTTTAGGTAGGTTACAGAGTAGTGACACCAGGAGGGAGAAGCATTGGAAAGGTGTTTATATAATCTTCCTAGATCTTATTCAGTGATGACATGATATCTGTCTCTTTGCCAATATCTTGTTATGAGCTGATAGCGGATACTGAGATTGATTTCAGGTTCGGGGTTACTCATTCAACATTAACTCGGGTATAGTTGAATCGCTTGAGCTCGATTCTTTCGGGGTAACCATCATACCATCAAGCTTGGTGGGGTAACTTATTCCCTTTCCCCTTCAGAAGATACACGCACAAGCATCTAGCAAAATGTTATATAATTAACTATCCGGGATGTGATATAATGCAGGTAAGTACATACAGATTAGATGTCGAGGACATAATCGAGGTCTTAGAAGACATAGTTGTCGTTCAAGAAGCTGCAGCTTCTAGAAAACAGAGGTTGACTAAGGTATATATGTCTTGTTATGACATGGCTTGGATTTTCATAGTCTTAAACGGATGATTTCAACGCGACCTTCTAAAAAAAAACAGGGACTCTGGGATGCTCAATTTGGTAGTGAATACTCTGATATTGAAGAGCTTGAAAGTTCATCATCTGACAGAAGAAGGCAAAGGAGAAGCAATAGATCCAATCGCAAGAAGAGAGATTTGGACGATGACGAATGGGACATATTCCGCTACAAGTCATCATGCATTCATTGTTTGCCATTCATCTTTGGTTATGTTTGATAGAGAAAATGTAAAAAAACGCCTTGTTCAAATAAAATTTCGAGTTCACGACAACAACAATGGTCTAATGCCGAAATATCCCCTGTTTTCATCAGCCCTTTGCTTTGGAGTGAGCTTGGATCAAAACCAGTGTGCATTGATGCTATACTTTTCTTTTCGATACATATCACATACATTAAAGAACACAAAAACATGCAAAAAATTATTAAACTGATACTACTGATATAATCTTCCTCTCTCAAAGCTTTTTATAATCTCATTCCAAAATGGCAGAGCATAGTCCTTGTTATAAATAAAATTTTCAAAGGACACAAAGTTAATTAAGTACCAAAGAGCTTCCTTCATCTTTCTTCTAGTCGCTGTCTGGGAAAGTAATCTTCTTACCACAAAACTTTTTCATCTTACATTTCTTCAGGCTTGCTAAAGTCTCCAAATAATCTTTTTCCAAATTGTCCAAGGTAGTCTTCAATATCAGAAACCCTTGTCATCTCTCTCCATGCATACCAAAAACACAATTTTGATAACAAACGTAAATAGTTAAATCCCTTACCAAAGCTTCTCTGCAAGTTCGTACCTAATTAACAAAAATAACAACGTTAGTCTTCTGTGATGACATCAAAGCTATAGCAGAAAGTTAAGAGTTACAAATCTCCAAATGGAAAGATCAATTTACTTGGGACGGAGAGGATATGGAGCTGTCTTAACCACGTCAAGGAAAAACGTACGATTCTTGTGATCGTTCTTCCTTTCCATTGCCTACAGTATAAAAGATTTAATCAGCAATCCTACTCTCAAATAACAAGTTTATTTTTCATAATAAGTAGTATTTATTTTTCATAATAAGTAGTATACACTATAAACTACCCTCACCATCAATGCACTGTAAGCAGAAGCAAACTCAACAAATCCACTGCCCACATGCTCACCCCTGCTGTTTACATTGAATCGAACACAAACTGTAAGTCATAATTTACATGAACCCTAAGATCTTTAAACATCTAGGTTAATCACATAATAGAATCTATGAGAAGGATTATCGGATTATCTCCGTTCATTGTAGTGGAGAGATCTTCCTGAATGATATCCTGATGGAAGACGGAAAGCCTGATCTCTGAGGTAGGAGTTAGGTTTCTCTCCCCTTGCCTATAAACTTAACTTTATGTGTTGTGTACTCGGATGCTTTTATGATGGGCTAAAGGCACATATTTATAGGTGGAGAGAGGACCTAATTCCTCTTTAGGGTTTCCTTAGGATTAATCTCAACCGTCCATCAAAGTAGAGATTGATTAGGAATTAACTCCATTATTTCCATTTAATTGGACACCAAATATATTATGGAATAACATTATTCCAATAGAAAACAGATCTATATAAGACCACATAATAGGAAAAGGAAGTATTATTATATATTCCTTACAGTCTCCCACTTGGTCGTTAGTAAGATCCATTAATGTTTTCTTTTAAGGAATCATAAGGCCGGCATAATATGTTATTCACTACTCCTCATTTGGTCATCATAAGTGTCTTGACTAATCTAGTAATCAATGGGAGTCATGGCGGTCGCACATCATTTTGCAACATGATCNCTTCCATGTACTACTGCACTGATTACCTTCATANCTAGACCATAAACATAAGTTGGAGTTATCATAATGGTCCCTTTTATGTCTTTAAATNAAGACTCATTCTGTTATCATAATCCAACAACCAATAATGTGTGTGCACATTGGAAACAGAATATAAATAAAAGATGTAAAAATTCATTAAAAGATCTCAAATAAATGTCAAAATAGGCTAAACATAATCAGACAACGTAATTAAGAGCTATCCTCAAGACCCATACTTTCTGCATGCTTATGAAATGTCTTGGGAGGTAAAGCTTTTGTAAATATGTCTGCAACCATAACATCAGTGCCTATGTGTTCTATGACAAATTTTCCTCTTTTGACATCTTGTTTCAGTGATAGGTATTTAAAGTCCATGTGTTTGGCTCCTTTAGATATCCAATCATGCTTAGAGAAGAAAACTGCGGCTTGATTGTCACAATAAAGAGTTAAAGGCTTGTCAACAAAACT